GTAATGGTATGTTTGTAACCTTACAACAATACCAATGATGTACTAGGTACAGAGAGTGATACAACAGTGCACTGTGTGATTTAACTGATATTGGGAGAAAACATTAAATAAACTGCAAGCAGTATAAATTTATAAATGACTTCTGCTTTGTGATTATGACTGTATATTATGTAAGAACTGAACAAGTTATAAATTATTATTCTTTCCTAGTTTCTCATGAATTAAGAAGAGAATGGCCTGAGATATTAATTAGTAATCAAAACATTGTCTGGCAATGAGTTCTCTGTATCCAAAACCATTGTTGTTACCGTGATTGATCTCATCCACATCTGGGCCGGCTATGATTAGGTCACGTGGGTCAAGGGACACAATATCTTGCCTCAGGATCCCTATGTTATGCAGGACAACACAGGTTATCACATACTGACAGGCTCTTTCTGGGCTTGTTCTAAGGCCAATGGAAAGGCAAGGGAATCTTCTCTTTAGTATGCCGTATGTCTGCTCGATAAGGACTCGTGTTCTACACAGTGCACTGTTGTATCGCTCTCTGTACCTGACATCATTGGTATTGTTGTAAGGCGTCATTAGATATGTCCGACAAGGGTACCCGGAGTCCCCCAAAAGTATACCATTATGCTGACCTGAAAAATCATGAAATTAATATATTAAAAAAAAAATAAATTCAGAATTACTAAAAGGTCTGGAAAGCAAAATGACGAAGATTTCAGTATGATTCAGCAGATGTTGAAAATATTTTAACTACATGTACATATACTAAAACTCAAATTGCGTTTATTGTCTGGCCTTTATGGGCCATATGACTTTATCATTTGAAAAAAAAATACCTTAAATCTACTTTATGTTAGTACATATAATTACTGATAAACATTACAGTTTTTAGCTCACCTGAGCCAAAGGCTCAAGTGAGCTTTTCTGATCAAAATTTGTCCGTTGTCTGTCGTCGTCGTTGGCGTTGGCGTCGTCGTTGTTGTAAACTTTTCACATTTTCATCTTCTTCTCCAGAACTACTGGGCCAATTTCAACCAAACTTGCCACAAAGTATCCTTGGGTAAAGGGGATTCAAGTTTGTTCAAATGAAGGGCCGCGCCTTCTTCCAAGGGGAGATAATTAAGAATTCGTGAAAAATTAATGGCATCATTAAAAAATCTTCTTCTCAAGAACCACTGGGCTTGAAAATATGAAACTTATGTGGAAGCATCCTCAGGTAGTGTAGATTCAAGTTTGTTCAAATCATGACCCCCGGGAGTTGGGTGGGGCCACAATGGGCGATCAAAGTTTTACATAGGAATATATAGGAAAAATCTTTAAAAATCTTCTTCTCAAGAACAGCAAAGCCATGATTGGTCATATTTACATGAAGGCATCTTCAGGTAGTGTAGATTCAAGTTTGTTCAAATCATGACCCCCGGGGATCGGGTGGGGCCACAATGGGCGATCAAAGTTTTACATAGGAATATATAGGAAAAATCCTTAAAAATCTTCTTCTCAAGAACAGCAAAGCCATGATTGGTCATATTTATATGGTAGCATCCTCAGATAATGTAGATTCAAGTTTGTTCAAATCATGACCCCCGGGGGTCGGGTGGGGCCACAATGGGCGATCAAAGTTTTACATAGGAATATATATGAATAATCTTTAAAAATCTTCTTCTCAAGAACAGCAAAACCATGATTGGTCATATTTATATGGTAGCATCCTCAGATAGTGTAGATTCAAGTTTGTTCAAATCATGACCCCCGGGGGTCGGGTGGGGCCACAATGGGCAATCAAAGTTTTACATAGGAATATATAGGAATAATCTTTAAAAATCTTCTTCTCAAGAACAGCAAAACCATGATTGGTCATATTTATATGGTAGCATCCTCAGATAGTGTAGATTCAAGTTTCTTCAAATCATGACCCCCGGGGGTCGGGTGGGGCCACAATGGGCGATCAAAGTTTTACATAGGAATATATAGGTTAAATCTTTAAAAATCTTCTTCTCAAGAACAGCAAAGCCATGATTGGTCATATTTAAATGGAAGCATCCTCAGATAATGTAGATTCAAATTTGTTCAATTTATGACACCCCCCCCTCCCCCCGAACCACTTTTTTATTCAAACTTTTCAACCTTTCAAGACTGAACTGATTTCTGCTTTTTCCTAGCCATAGTGCTCAGGTGAGCGATGTGGCCCCTGGGCCTCTTGTTTTCCTGTTCCTTATTTAGTTTTGTTTTATTTGCCATATTTTTCTTATACTTATTACATATATATCTTCAGGGAGGTATAGGAATATCACAGTTAAGTAATAATATTCCATCAAAATTCAGTTAAAATTAACTGCATGTGATATTATTTACCATTCTCAAACTGCTGACAGAGAACACTTTCTCGGAAAACCCTTGAATCATGACAAGATCCTGGCCACTTGGCAACACAGTTGGTCACCATAAAATTAGCATCACAGGTCATCTGATATATGATCAAATTAAACATTAATTTATTGTTTGTAAATTTAATTTTCATAATACATGCATGTTATTTATCTTTAAAGTCAATGATTGTGATGGATTCACATATAAGCGGATTTATTGCCTACTTTATTTCTAAATTTAAATCATTGAAAGCTTATTTAGCTCTTTTAATGTTTTTTTTTTAATTTAAAATCATTTTTAATCAAAAAACAATTACCATGACATTTAAAGAATGATATCCTTTTCTATTCACATAATCAGGCTCATTTTCAGTAGGAGTTTGGATGCGGATAAAAGTACCATCAACACATCCCAAGACACCAGGGAACCCTACAATAAATAGATTTCATAGATTAATATTTTCATCAGGCCAATAGCAGCAAATATCATAAGTTTTCAATTTGTTTGTGTGAGTAAATATATATACCTTTTGATGATATCTGATTCCCTTTTTATTTTTAAAATCATACAGAAGTTATAGTTATGAACATATCAAAATAGGATTAATTATTTACTGAACATGATAATAAAGTTATGAAGAGTAGAATAGTAAAGATTTCAAAGTACAATATGACTGATTTTGGAGTTACCCCCCACCCACCCCCCTTTTCTGTCACATATTGTATATATACATGTAATTTAGTAACACTACACACTCACTAAAACACACATATATATAATGATTACAATTGATAATGTTCGAGGGATCCTTATTTTTTTCTTAGATGTAAGAGATACATAAATGCATTTAAAACAGTGACTTGAGATATGGGTCGAAAAGGTAGAACCGAAATGCTTATAGAACGAAACGTGTTTACTGATTCAAGGGGGCGCTGTTGTTTGTTTTCAATGCGAAGTTCTCGAAAACATGTGTAAGTGAAAAGCCATGGATTCTTACCTGCGATAGCATGAAACATTCTCTTTACGTTGGTGGCATCCTGTCCAGAAGGAAAGCGAATAAAACGGCCAGCAACATTCGCTATTGCAGATGCCACCCTGCGGATGCATCGTCCTGCCGTGGCTTTGGAGATGTGGATGGCATCCCCCACAAGTTGATGGAAGGCCCCCGTAGCCACAAACCGGAGGAAAACCAGCAGCTGAATCATCGCTGGAAGGGCCAACGATCTCTTGGTAGGATGGGTTATTCTGTCCTGAATGGTGTCGTAAATAAACATTATCGTAGGGCGGCGAAAACGATATCTCTCGAACAACTCGTCATCTGTTCGGAGGTCCAGTGGATTCAACCGATCCCTGAAAAGCCTGGGGCGAGGGAGACGCCGTCTTCGCCGGACAGTATCAACATTTCCCCCTTGAACACGTCTCAAGAAACCAACAACAGCGGCCATTTTGAAAGAACTTAAGATCAATCTTAAAACTTAAGACTGCCCATGAGCAGTCTTAAAATTTAAGACAAAATTCCAGTCTTAACTCTAAGTCATTTTTTTGTGATCCACTTTAAGAACAATCTTAAATTTTAAGTGCAAATTTTTGGAGTTAAGTCTGACTTAAGACTTAAGGCAGTTTCATGATCCCGGAGCCTGGAGTCATAAAAATAAGATTCCTTGTGGATTGTTAATTGTTTATTAAATGATGATGATGTAACATGATCACTTGACAAGTGAATCTGATATTTTTGCGTCGCATTCTACAAATATGATTCATTTGTAAATGATAGCCATCATTTTCGATGAATTCCTTAAGAATTTAATTCGGATGACGGAACTGGAAATGATGGAGATGATGTGAAATGCCTTCCTCAATACAAAACAAAACATAGAAAAACAATATCTAGCAAAAATGTTTTTATTCTTAATTTAAATTTACATAAATTCATTAAATAATGTACAAGTTTTATTTCTCAAAAATATTATTTAAACATGTTCCATTCAGGGAAGATGATAACATACTATCACCCTGTAAGTGGAAGATTAATCTAAATTATACAAATCAAATGAAATAAAAAAAAAACATGCACGTTTTATTAGATTTCTTACATAATTTGTTAAATTTAAAAAAAAAAAAAAAAAAATCATAGTGGAATTTTCCACATTGCCACAAGTAATACTATTATGTAATACAGTGTTCACCCGTTTTAAAAAATCTTATGTTTTCCAATTCCGCAGTTCTATTTTGATTAAATGCTTGCTTAGAAATATTTCATGACGTTAGACGGCGTACTTACGTGCAAGACAGATATTGATTATAACAAGATGCCATCTCTCGTTAATATATAGACATCATAATTTTTGGTTTGATAGTTAACGTTAATTGAGAAGAATTTTATTGATAAAAACAGTCTAAATTAATATTTTGTTAACGAAAAAAAATTTTTTTTGAAGGAAATTGTGAACAACCATCCTGGATAATAAGAGTAAACAAAGATTCGGTGGAAAATGACGTGTTTAACCTACAGGTCAATAGTTATTTGATATTAGAAAAAAAATTGTTCCTTGGATTTTTCACCAAAAAATATCACGAAAAATCATAACAGACACTTTTTGAAATGGTTTTAACTTCTATTTCCGTTAGAGATCGGAGATATCCTGAGATATTTTTTGTATCAATTTTTCCCAGAATTCCTCATAATCTCGTTCGTTTTCTGGGTATTCCAGGTAGCAATCCTGTTTCAGTAAATCTGCTACTTTACTTGGATAACTTCCCTTGTACACATCTGGCATCAAAATAAGAATTACAAAACGAATACTTCCTCTGTCTTTGATGCCTTCAACTTTTGCCATGTTAAGTTCATAATCCCTCCACTTGGAAGTCAGATACCGCTTGGACACAACACAAACCGCTTTACAACTTTCTTGTAAACCTTCCATAATACAGGTAGATTTAGACTCACCAGGTAGAAAAACTTTGTCACGAATGAGCAGCTTTAAACCACGGCAATTTTCCAGTTGTTGATGCATTTCCGATAGCACAAAAGTTCTATCACTTCCACAGTATGAAATATAGGCGTCATATTCATAGTGAACAGTTGATTGAAAGTTGCTATTGAAATTTCCACGATTTTGAAATCTCTTTTTGGTTTTATATATAATATATCGCAATGTCCATTTGTATTTATATACACCAACTCCAACTGATATGCAAATTATTAGTGTTAAAGCAATTGCAGTTGGCAAATATATAGAAAGGTAGGACCTACAGTATCTTGTGAGTTTTTTAACAGAATCATCTAATTTGGAAAATTGGAAAGCGAAATCGTTTTCGGAACATTTATAGTTTTCAAGATTCTTAAACGTGTGTTTATTAAGGGCTATCCACTTTAAAAACTTTAAAGACTGGCACGAACATGTAAAAACATTCCCTGAAAGATCAATTGTAAGTGTGTCTTGTCTTTCGTCTAGTAGTTTCTGAATAGATTCCATTGCTGCCTGGGACAAAGAGCTCATTCTGTTGTTTGCCAAATCTAAGAATGTCAGATTCCTCATATGATTTACTTGTAAGTTAAAGTCAGAAAGTTTATTGTTTCGAATGATTAAAGATTTCATTTGAACTGTGTGTTTAAAAAATTTTCTTGGTAGATATTCAATTTGATTATTTGAAATATTAAGAATATTAAGATTACGTTGACTTTGGAAAATACTTCCCTCAAAATCATCAGCAAATGATAGACCCAAGATATTGTTTGATAAATTCAGAGTGAGGAGTGAATGGAAATTGATGAAAAAATAACCCGTTACTTTATAACAATGATTACTAGAAATGTCTAAATATGTTATATTATCTACACCTAACACAGAACCTTCCCAATCGTAAAAGCTATTATCATACATATGAACTTTCTTCAAATTTTCTGCATGAATGCCAAACATTCGTATTTTTCCATAAATATGAGTTGAGTGCATGAAAAATTCATTTACTTTCGGAGGCAAAAATATTGATACATATGTTTTTGATACGTTGATACGGTCATGCGTCCTTTCAACTAAACTATAATTGTTGTATTGAAAATGTTCACGTTTTTGAGAATGAAGAATATTTCTGGTACACTCGTTCTCTAGCACAATATCCGGGTTTTCTTCACAAGGATCTGCCCAAACAGTTGGGTATGTTAACCCTTCGTATTGTCGTGAAACATCTACTACCTCTAGACCTGTAAGCTGGCTCAATTCAAATAAGTATTTTCCTGGAGTCAATCTATTCATTTTCAATTTCATCGTTTTTATTGACTTTGGTAGACTTCTTAGAACACCTTCCTGAAATTGTTCGAGCCGATTAAATGAACCCGAAAATTCTACGATAGATGTATTGTAAAGATTCTGCAGATGACAATGTCTAAGCATTGTTCCTACTCCAGTGGTGCAGGTGATCGAATCAAATATGAAAGTTTTGATGTTTGTTACGTTGAACGAATTAGTGACATTTGGTAAAACGGTAAATCCCATCTCGCGGTTATTTGATATATTAAGAAATGACAGATTTGGAAGTTTGCTGAACACTCCTTTTTCAATGTAACGTATATTGCAATTACTTATGTCCAAATGCCTCAAAGCAGGAAGATTATCAAAGAAACTTTTTGACACATACCTTATGGAGCAAAAGCTGCCAGCCCGTCCTGATATATCAAGATATTGCAATTTCTCTAACTTCTGACAGAAAGTCATGTTTGAAAGTCCATTTATTTTCAAAACTTTCAGAGAAACTAGCTCTGTAATAACCTTTCCTGGAAATTTCCAATGATCAGTTGAAAATGGAGCGTTCTTCATATTCAATTCCAGCAATGACTCCAAAGTTTTAAAAATCCCTTCATAGAAATTAAGCTCCGTATAACTTATATTATTATTGTAATCTAGCTTAAGAATCTTCAGTTTAGTCAAATTATCAAACGGATGACCCTGAAGATTTTCTATGCAGTTTGCTGTCAAGTTCAGAACAACAATATTTTGTGGAATTCTTTTCGAATCGATTGAATATATTTTATTTTTGCTCAAGTCGATCCAGTTCACATTCTTCGAGAAAAAAGGGATTTGCTGCAAAGACAGGTCGGAACAAGAAGCTTTGTAAAATAATCCTTCCTGTCTGCAAAAACATCTCTCTTCAGATGAACAATTGACCTGCATTTGGCTCCATGTCTCTTTAGAAATGGAACACAAAATCAAGACACTTGTTAATAAATTAATGTTAAAGACCATTCTTGAAGACATTTTCCTTCAAATTTTCCATGTACGCAGTTGATCATAAACAAACACCTTTTGCACTTTGCACTTAAATATAACAGAATCATAACTCAAATTAGATTCCCTCACATTATAAATTACAATTCAAGAAGCAATTAAGGAAATAAAGAAGTAAGAGTATTCGTGCTTTTCTTAACTTCCTCGACGAGTTTCAAAGACAAATAAATGGTGAACCGATTGATGTACAAATTTCAAAATATACACAGGTATAAATCTTGTTATTAATGGAAGTGAAATTTTTATATGATCCTTGGAGTAGCGATGCATCTAGAGTTTTGAATGGTCAAAGTAATAAACCTATTTACTGATAACGATCTGCCTTTTATTGAAGAAGGATAGAATCTTTTTTGAATCGCAATAGACCTAATAGCAAAGAACAAGGGACTTAGAATTTTGATTCCTCATAAATGAAATTTGTTTCATTTTTCAAGTTCATAAAATGTTTTAAAACTACATGAAATAAAAATAACTTCACTTTATGCGTGAATTCATTATAAGCATTTTCAAATATACCATGTTATACTGAACTATTATATTATAAGGATGATGTGGATTTTTTGTGCTTTAATACCGATACATCGTGTTAAAACTGACCTTTGTCATTTATATGAAATAGGTAAAGATAAAGAACAGTGATCGTTTTAATAAAGATTCCATAAACAATACAAATCTGTGAATAGGGCATAAAACACGGACCCCCGGAAATTCCAGAGCTGGGATCAGGTGCCTAGAAGGAGTACATGTAAGCATCCCTTGCTGCCGGGTCAAAACGGCCGTGAACCCTATGTATCGATCAGGTAGAGGAATAGTCCTAGTCAAATTTAGCATAAAAGCAAAGGCCCAATAACTCTTATGAAACATGTCAAACAAAATACGACCACATGATATATTATATTTCGTAACAATGTCATTTTAACGACCATAGAATTTACGAAATGCTTACTTTAAACGAAGTTGTTGAAATCCCTGTAATATCAACTCATACCATAGTTAAGTGTGATTTCGTTTGTTACAAGTGTGAGTTGTCTGTACATAACTCGCATTTTTTCTATAAATTCCGCCGATCGAGTAGGGACAAAAATAGCATTTCAAAGAACAAAGCTCATTTTTTGTTAAAATCAAACAATCATTCGGACTTGATATACCGAATTAAAGTAGAAAACTATATTTCATGTAAAGCATTACACGATCATTATAAATTGAAAAATTTGAATTTTAGACTTTACCTCTCGTTAACAAATTGAAAAGCAAGTGCAGTGATCGCTTGGTTTATCACCCCCCCTTTTTTTTTTCTAAAATTATTCGCACGACCAGTGAGACATTACCTTATTATTGAGAATATTCTTTGGTAATGAAATCGTTGGTATTTCTTAATTGATTCCAATGTCGTTCTATTGAGAGCCAACCAAGAAAACCCGTAACATAATCAAAAACGGGCAATCAGAAGTTAGAAGGTTATTCCCTATTCCCTATTGACTATTTGAATGGCGAACCGGATGCTGCTACCGGTTCCCTATTCAAATTACCGTAAATGTCCTAATAATTTTTTTTTAAAAATTTAAATAACTCATTATAATACATGTTAAAGAAGCAAATCAAAGACATCACTTAAAAAAGAAGAGTGAGGACCCCCGTACTTGAAAAATTCAGTTTTAGATGAAATTTATTGTTAAATCCTGTACATTATTTAATATTTTAAATTATTGTAAAAATAAAGAATACCCCATCTGCCACCTTGCACAAGGAGCATAGACAACAGGTAACAAGTAGAGATAGAAATTATGTTCAAAAAAAGGTTCGGAATTAATTTTGATATTTGAAATTAAAACAAAAGACTGAAATCGGAAAAAATGAAAAAAAAAACCTTGTCTCTGTGAAAACAGACACTTTTTTCAATTGCACAAGTCAGTCAAAATTCGCACTACTTGTGAATAATTTAAAGATATCATTTTTACTAAAATAAGGTACAAGTCACATACCCCATATAATATTGTAGATTATGTGCAGATACCCGATAGGCGTGGTCATAATGACGACTTGGGAGGTACGCTCTCTAGTGTCATTATTACCTGTCCATCGGGTATCTGCACATAAACAACATTATTTTATTGGATAACTACTATTTTTCTGTCAGTAGGCTGTCTCGGTTTAAAAATTGATCTTTCTCAGAGCATGCTCTTGAGCATCGAATAAGTTGGAAGACGCAAACACCATATGCATATGCAGGTGATAACAGAATATTATAACAAAAATAAAAGTTGACATCGCAAAACCCGAAAACATCACGTTTATCATACAACTTAGGTCTTAGTTAGCCCTTATCGTCTATAAACAGTAAAACATCCAAATATGAAACAGATGTGTCAGTCTCTGTGGTGTCTTATTTCAACTTCACTTGGATGTTACGAGTCGACATATGAATGGAAGTAGCTACTGGTAATTGATAAAACGTCGTCGATATATCTAAATGTCAAGTGGTAGGCCACAACAAGTGTTTTCTTCTTCTCATGAAGAAGTTTTTGAATAAATTCTCCTTCATAAGAAGATAAAGACAGGTCGGCTAATAAAGGAGCACAATTAGTGTCGGTTGAAATTCCAACAGTTAATTGGAAGACCTGGTCTCCAAACTTCGGAGTTCTTCTATATGAATCAGAGTGATTTTTAACAATTTTTTGTGGATGACCAATCACAAGATACAAGAATTCCGATTTCCTTTTTTCATTCTAACTTGAATTGAAATTTTCCAACTGTAGCGTGTTTTCTCTATTTTGGTTAATAAATTAATTTTCGAGGAAAATAATGAAAGGGTAAATAATAACAAACAGTGATCGATCTAACAAAAAATAAAATAAAAATTCGAAATGTGAACTCAAAATTTTAAAATATGTAATCCTCTTGTTTCTTTCAGATAAAGAACTGCGAACGATAGTATTGTTCTCCCGCCTACCTCCAAGTCAATTTTCAAAAGTTAAGATATTCGAATGATTTTTAATATTTATATTGATATTTATATGGATTTTCATAAAACATTACTTCTTTGGGAAAACAACGAGATATAGCTCTAAAATTTTGGTAAAACTCGTGTTTTTCACTATAGAAATCAACGGAAAACGGAAAATATTTTTAAAACATCTTTCCCCCCCGTGAAACAAAAATTCCTTTTTACGGGTAATATGGACTGTCATTTCACAAATTCATACCAAAGCTTTTTGTGTTTCACGGGGGGGGGGGGGACATATGTTTATATACAAAAAACGACAAAAATGCTTATTTTTTCAGCAATTTCCAAGTGCTTTACAACTGAAACATTATATTTTACTAATATATATGCTTAATTTTATATGCATAAAACATAAGAAAAGATTTAAGAAACATTTATTCATATTCAAGACTATTTCAGAATATGGTGATGCATTATAGCCCGATTTCAGTGGAAAATATCGTCTACCCCCCTTATTTCAAGAGCTGGAATTATGGATATTTTACTATTTAGCACTGGAATTAATATAATTAATCAATTACCATTGAACTGTTCTTTGTATTAAACAAAGATTTTATGGCCAAATTGTCATCAATATTGAATTAAATGGTTGTAAAATGTAGGCGGGAATCGGGAGTTACCGTGCGTAGTTCTTAGACCAAACTGAAGTCGTTGAATTTCAATGACGAACCTTGAAAAGTAGTAATATGTTCAAATTGATAAAAATATAAAAAAAATTGTATCTCACGACTTATTTTCATTATACTGAGATACAAAGTTTAGCTATGACACCCTTTATAAAATATTGAATTATAATTATTGAGAATTAAATTTTTCCAATATTAATTAATAGACTTTTCATTTATGTGCAAATAAAGCAAATCCTTCTACCTTTTTACCAGCTAACTCGTGGGGCAATAGTAATCGGCTTTGCTAAAATATAGAGAGATTAGTTTTCTGTGATAGTTTGTGATACTCGAGAAATATTTCTTAAAATGAATTCATCTTTAAATTCAAGTTTGTAATTTAGTAAATATAATAAATATGCCCTTTTTTGCAACAAAAAGGTTTTTGATCCACTCCTGACTGAGTAGTCCTAAAACACTTTCCTAGATAACATGTTTTTTGTTTGCAAGAAAAAAATCATTTTGAGAGATGTGATAATTCTTCCAATATTTATTATATGTGTGCTTAACAAAGGCAAACTTTAAAGAACTTACGGCGTAATGATTTTTCATCCTGGTGCTTTGTAGTCTTAATGGATTTATAACGAATTGCGTTTATAACAAATTAAATTTGCACGTCCCTGGCATTAAGTTATAAGCGTTTTTTTTTTACTCTATCGATACAGTTAATCTTTATTTCTCGGGTATTTCAATCTTGTTGGGGATTAACTTAGTTTTCTCCACATGATTTTTTTTAAAATCAGGCACGCTATTGACAAATAAGGTGATGATATGAGGTTATAAACAATCTCGTTTAAAGTTAACATTTCACAAATTCTATGGTCGATACAATGATCTTGTTTGGAAATTCAATCTGTTGTTCTACCGAATGTTGACTAACGTCTTCATACAAATTATTAGGCGATAATTTTCACACTGTATTATTTACAGATATTTTCGTTGAACTGATCAGACGCACAGGGTGGGCATGACTGGTAAACAGGGGATCCCTTCACCTTCATTTCACCTGATCTCACAAGGTCTGAGTTGGCCCTGCTCGTAGTTTGTACTGTTTGGATGGACTTTTGAGCCTGAGCTCTCCATCTTCTCAATTCATATCCGTAGGACATCATGAATATATACATTATGCAAGATAATTTTATATTAATTACATAAAGGTTAATATGATCGAATAAATCTTTTAATAAATATAGTTAAAAAATCTCGGGTATAAAATACTTTAACCTCTTAGAATAATGACAATGGGTCATTTTTGTACGTCGGCAAATGACTCCCGGTCATCCTACGACGTCGAAAAATCTCCATTTTACCTGCAGAAAAGACATCACCCTTAAAATGTACATTTCCTACGTGAATAAATGACCCTGTAGAATGTGGATTAATTGTATATTTTATTCTTTTTGGTCAAAAAGATTAGAATTATAAATCAAGAGGCCAGTGGGAGAAAATATTCACCTTATATTATATATTATGGATATAGCGATGATATGTTGGTCTTATTAAATTTTTCGATTAAAATAATCTGTCTTTCATGATAAATCGACTTCAATCAACACTATGTGGAAATGCTTCCATATTGATTTGACAACTGTATCATCGTTTTGAAGAATTTTTTTTTCTTTGAAAAATTCCTCTATATAATCTAGAGAGAGAGAGAGAGAGAGAGAGAGAGAGAGAGAGAGAGAGAGAGAGAGTTGTTTAAAAATGGCTATCAAGTTGCGTATGAGTGCATGTATTTTTAGGTTAATGATTTTCATAGTACACATGTATGTAATTTTCGGACATATAGCAAAAGTTTCTAACAATTTGAACAAGAAGAATTACGTGATGTTTTTGAGACTTTTGGTATCTTTTCATTAAAAAAGAAAGAACAAGAAACTAATACCATCCAGTGTATGCGACACATAAAAGTGGAGAGGAAAGAAGTTTTTACCTAAACTGCAAGTAAAACTTCCATTAACCCCCCCCCCCCCAAAAAAAAAAGTTTTGATTTTCTGGATGCTTTCTTTTATCATAAGATAAATTTCCGGAGAAACATCAAATCTTTTCGAACAAATATGCTATCCGCTTATCTGTCCAAGGAAATATCCAAAAAAAAAAACTACTTTCTTCTAACATACGGGTGTATTCAAATCGTCTGAAGGAAGAACTCAAATGCACACATTTCTTGTTGTCTGAACGGAGACATACATTTCAGACCTATAACCTTATTTTTCAGAAAATATATCAAAATTGTCCGAGCCAATAAATATTTTTGGGGCTTCCTCGTCACCGTTCAATTGCATAATATTCCGTCTTTATGAAAGTTAACGCCTGTAAGGATTTTTTAAAAATTGTTAAATTTATCAAAATTCTATAATTACAATATGCACTACCTTTTAACATAAAAAATGGAAAAATAAATGTGTTTGCTAACATCTCATTATACATGTCATGACCCAAGACTTTTAGAAATGCTGACGTTAATTGAGACTGTTGAAAGCTTTGTAACATAAACTTATTTGTTAGTAACCTGCCTCTGTATAAAAGTTACTTATAGCATGCTTTAGTGTACCGAATAAGTTGAGAGATAATACACCATAAGTTGGCGATAGTGGAAAAGCTGATTCGAAAGTCATCATTTTTTTTCATATACTTTAGTTGTTAGTTGGCCATAAACGTCTAAAATCAGTACACTATCCATATAGGAAATAGATGATAAAGAAATATTAAGATACCACTTTTTACTAATAGCCAATATAACGTAAAAACTGTTCGATTTTTATTGTATGCTGAGTGCACAATAAGTCTAATAGGTAGAAATATATAAAATACTGTTATATTGCATTTAATTGCGTGTTTATCCAGTGTTCGTCAGAAAAACGCAAAAGAATTAAACGATGAAACACAAACATTGGCATCAATCACCTCATTTTAAACGTTGTATCACTGTATTTGGATGGGGGTCATTTTTCAATGGCGGTCAATTTCTTATAGGTTGCATATGTAGAAAACTGACCACTAGATTTCATTTTCTAATAAATAAAATAAAATGACATTTTTCTACTGCTGTGGGTCAATTTTGGACGTCGAAAAATGATCCCCGTCATTTTTCAAGGGGAGTCATTATTCGTCTTTACACCGGTATTTTTTGAACGAGTTTATTTTCTTGACTTTTAAAAAATGCACTAAAAACTTCCTCCTAAAATTATCGTTAGTAAAAAACCTAATTAATTAATTATTTAGTTTCTTACCAATTTGAAAAAAATCATTTCTACAATTTAAGATGTGTTTTATATATATATATATATATATATATATATATATATATATATATATATATATATATATATATATATATATATATATATATATATATATATATATATATATATACCAATGAAGAAAATTTCATGAGACGTTCACAGAATTTTTATTACAATAGTACCATCGTGCACTTACTATTTTACATTTCTATTGAAAAGATGTTAGGGGTTTCTCACAGCAAAGCATAAACGCTGCCTTTTTTTCTATAACATTGAGGGTACCCATCTCTCATCCACAACTCTTCCTATACCATTGAATAAAATTCAATGAGATTTTCACAGAATCTTTGTCACATAGTGCTTGTCAGCACCTCCTATTTTTCTCTTCAATCAGGCAGATATTTTTGGAACCCCCCCCCCCCCCCCGCTAAAAACCCTGGAAAGCTGCCATTCTTTTTATAATATTAAGTCCTTTTATGCTATTGATGAAATTCAATGAGACTTTCAAAGAATCTTTATTGCATAGTGCCATTGTGACCTCCTATTTGATATTTCGAATGAAGAGATATTTTGGGTTTCCGATAGCGAAAAATGGACTTAGCCATTATACTCAAATGGGAGCTGAGGATATCATTTTGTGAGCGCAGTGCTCACAGTACCTCTAGTTTTCACTTGTTTTGTTATTGATCTGCTTAGAAAAACGCACACATTTTATTGCCAACATCAATGTCAACAATTAAAAGGAATATATGTGACAAAATAATTTCAATTAAGAGGATGATTCAAAACATTGTTTAAATTGGTCATATGTAATAGAAAATGAATAATATTACCGTTGAAGAAATTAATGCAGTTATATTAAACAAAATCATGCATTTGTCAATCTTTTTATAAAACTGAGGATATCCACAAAGATTTCTGCCTTCCTCTACATCATGTTCATCAAATTCGAGGGGTTTATCATTTTCATTACTCCTTTCATTCTCAGTTTGTTGTTCCTTTGTTTCCATCTCAGTGTTTGGGGCTTGATCATGATGAGTAATTGGCTTAATGATAGGTTTCAACAAAACAGAAATGATCGTACTTATTACACAAAGGAGTAAATGGAATCCTACGTATATCGTGAGGTATGGTACATCGGTAGAATTTCTTGGCATCGTTTCCTCGAATAAGGTTAAAAATACAGTAAAGGTCAGAAAAAGCGTTAGGCTGTAGGTAATTCTCTCCCCTGAATGGACTGGAACAAAGAATGTCAGTGAGTTTAGAACAGCTAGTATTATTATGGGAACAAAAATAGTCAATACGATGTAAAGGTATCTTCTGATGAAATGAAGAACATACACCACTGTTGTTAAATGAAATTCTGGTTCGTACACTATTGTAAAGGTAAATTTAACAAATATCCATTCTCCATTTTGAGATATGATTTTTGAATCATCATCTGTTCTTGATTTTGGAACAAGTTTTTGGACCCAGTCAGTTACCTGCCAAGCACTAACAATTATTTCACATTGCTGCTCATCAAACGGAAATCTCGAAACTTTGATGTCACAGGAAAGTATGATTTTCCCGCCAGGATACCAGGTCACGTGACCATTAGAACTCACTGTGACGTATGGATGTGGTTCCAATCCATGGATACCTTTTTCAGTATACCACATTGATATGTCTGGGGTCCACAGTTTCTGATAGGGGACAGTAATCATTTCTAAACCGGAATTTTGAGTGTGATTCCAAGTGAGAAATTCGTCATACCACTGAACATTGAACCAACCGAAGAATGATATATATTGCATACGTTCTTCAACTTCTTGAACCGAATTAATAGTAAAATAGAAATTAACATGTACCACTTCACTTTGATTTTTTCTTGGTTTAATCATTGAGCTATAGTTTTCAAAAAGGCGATCCACAAAATTTTCGGAACAGGCACAACTTTCAAAGATCCAAATTAAAAAAAGTGCAGTGAGATTCATTTTAATTGTCATGCTTTTTCCTAATGTCTCCAAAGTGAAAATTTTTATAAAACATTCATTGACTGCTTAAATCTGTTTGCACAGTTTTGTGTAATGAAAACGATCTATTCAAATTCCTCAGCAATTGTAAATGTCAAATATGGTTTTGGAAATATTTCTACTAAATAACGATTGGGATTTCCGCTTAAGAAATGTCAATAAACGGAAACATATTTTACACGATGAATTCCGTGATTCACTACATGAATATATATGAACAAAAGAAACCAATAGGAATTACTTATTTAGTAGTGACTGTAAGTAAAGTGCAATTAGTGAAATGCTGCTTGTATGGAACAATAAAATTTGGTTATTGCGAAATTATTGGCATTGTTTACATGCCATTTGGGAGATGAAGTGATTATTTCTTTTTACAGTAAAGTACGTCATGCGATATTATTTCAAAAGTTTCACTGAAGAAAATCAGTGAAATGTAATTACAAATTCATAAATAATGACTTTGCTTTAATTTCTTCTTAATATGTTTGCTGACAAGCCGCAATGAAGCAATCAAGGTAGGCATTTTGTATCATTGACCTTTTAATATTTCGAAAATTATTTATGAAAGGATAATTCTTAGAGGGTGTTTAAAGGGGGTTATAAAGCCAACCAAAATTACGAAGGCAATGCTCCATCTCTTCCTAGGACTTCAATTCTTTGAAAATGATATTATTACGCATTTCGCTCAATGAACTTCGTAATGACTTCCACAATTTTTTTTGTTTACTTTGGAGACTCAGAGTAAATATCTTTCTGCAGTGAGTTATTTTAAAGTTATCTTAAAGTTAACTAATCCTTAATTGTGGAAAATTGAAGTGTTTAGAATAAATTTATTTTTACTTGATATTTGGTTAGATTATAATATGGAATTAAAAGTTGCTTTAAAGTATTTACAGTGATTGTAACGACTAATTCTTTTCTATTGTCGTGTGTTCTTTCAGCATTGGAGGTGATTGGTAATGATTATCGAAGCCTTAATCGAACGCTTCTTCTAAAAAAAAAAAAATAAACAGAATGAGTTTAAAAAAATTATTTTCTTTGCTACATACTTTTTGGTAAGTTTTATAATTAGTTTTTAAGTAATTACTTTTAACTTCACTTCTTTTCTTCAAAGAAGATGTATTGTTCAAATGTATGAAGTGGCGCATTCTAAGTTTTCACATTTTATTAAAACTTTCGAAAACCTTTTTTTGCCTTTTTTCTAAATACAGTATTTATTTGTATTTAATATTCTTTATACATAAATAAGGCGTGAAAAACAAAATCATTATTTACAAAAAGAAACCTGTTGAGAAATTTATCAGTAAAATATGCATGTTCCCTCTTTCATCCTTAATGGTGGCGTCTCCGTATAAGTTTCTCGAGAGGGACGTTAAACAACAAACAAACATCCTTAATGGAAGTAAAAACGGAGCACCATTTGTACAAAATATATAGATACAACGGGTAAAAAAATATCGTTGCTAACATGTAAAGAGAAAAAGTTTATCAACAAAGTGTGTGTGTGTGTGTGGGGGGGGGGGGGGGGGGGGGGGAGTCACATTTATATTTACTTCTGCATCTACAGTAACTGTGGGATTTTGATCAAAATATTTCTTCCTGCTAGAAGTCTGTAATTAACCTTTCAGGAGAAACTGTCTGATACTTTATTGGAATTTTCCCGTCACCATATATATTCTCTATAAGGTTTAGAACTATAAGCATACTAGAAGACAACACTAATCCAATGAATATAGGGATATGACATTACTTTTGATACTTTACAGTGTAGTGATCTACTATATGAGGCCAAAACTTGCAGAAGAAAATTTGACTGTAAATGTTTTCTATAAATACATTTGTTTTGTTTTTTTAATTTGGATGTAAAACATTTAAAATATTATCATTAAATGCTTCAATTTCCTTTTCATATGGTTTGTTTGTTTTTTGATTTTTTTTGTTTTACTCCAATCAAATAACAAATAATTGTAGAATTTAGACACTACACATCGATGTCAATATCAGAATTTTTTCGTTTTTATCATATTGTACCCAAATACATGGCTTTCACTGTAGGAAATTAAATAAAGGATGAAGACCTACTTGACCAGAAGAAATGTGAAGATAACAAACAGTGATAATGCTGGTGAATTCCATTCATTTATTGTTCATTCAACGAAAGAAATCCATTGCAAGAATAATTATATAAAACAAAGTACAGTTATTTTCTCTGCTTTTAAATTTGTAGAGCTATTCTTTACAAGTTTTTAAATATGATATCAATGTAATACATGTACTAATATTTTGACATTTTCTTAATGTTCTTTTCAATACAGATATTGCATGATTTTAAACAGCTACATTAAATTATTAAAAGCCTTTTTATTCTAAACGTAAACAGTGTAACCTCGGTCATTTTTTGTTTTGAAAAATTATGATAAAAAAGTAAAATGTATGTAAGTCTTCAGAAAGAGCAAATTCCAAATGAATGTCGTTCTGTCATGATAAACAATCTAACAAATTATATCCTAAAAATTGAATTTAACTAAATATCGACTCTTTTGTTTTCAATTTATAGTTCATTCTCCTCCTGCAGGAGAAATATTAATTTTGTCAGGTTGTTTGTCTAATACTCTATATGTCCCATCATGCTCATCAACATGTGTCCTCATTAATAAAAAGGATCATACTTCAAAGATCATCGGTACTAAGGAGTGAGTGTTTAAGTGAAATTTTTGTGACAGTATTTGCATGATTTTTAATTGATTTGTATTATCTTTATCTTGTAGACATATCTTAATTGCTTTAAGCAGCTGACTCAAGTAATCTGTTCGTGTGATTAGGTATTAATGGTTTATGAATGTTTTACTTGGAATGGGACAAATTACCATTTCCAAATGTATAGCGTAAACATACTATTTTTATTTAATTATTTAGTCAGATCTTGTTCTTATGTTTGACAAGGGAATGCAAAATGTACTTCGAGACTTAAAGCATTTTTATATAAAAACTAAAAATCTCCATGTAGTAATATGATGAAAAAAATGAAATCCGGTCATTGTCCCATGACCTCCTGAATATAGTCGAACATGAGTATGTTTCTGCTGTGTTTCAAAAACCCTGCCATGATCAAGATCATATCGTAGTTCAACATAATAATTGTAATGAGATGTTGAAATTATGACATATTTATCAAAGCCCTGTTACGTACATGTCAGTTACCTCAAAATATCTCGTAAAACAAAACAGTCTTGTTGTACTGGAGGAGAGGAAGAGCCGTATTGAACAGCTACAGACATATCCTAATGGAAAAAAATGAAGATAGTTTTGTATTTTTATTTGTTCTCTTTGTTCTTAGTTAAGCCTTTCAAAATGGTTTTGTGAGTTCTTTCAAATCATGGTATTAAAGGACTCCGGGGGTAAAAAAAATCGCAAAGAATGTCTAGACAGTGGACCCTTGATCGCCTGTCATACATAATTTATGAATACGAATTATGAATCTGCTTATATATTTTGCAAACAAGACGATCCATCAGATTTGTATTCTAAACCAAATACGTCGTCTGCAAGTAAAGATGCACATTAGGGTGACAATGACTCAGAAGAAATGTTTCAACTAGCCGTCTTGGATAAGTATTTTGCTCTCTGTTGTTTTACACTGACGGTTATCGTACAGTTCGACAGTTTTGAAGCGATTCCTAAGGTGTAGGAACAGAAACTAATGTCTATCTATATGACTCCATCGTAAATACACTTTGAAAACTGTTTCATATGTTATCAAATTTTATAAAACTTTATATAGAAATGTATGATATTGCTATGCTCATTTAAAGGTTTTAAGCCTAAAACATTGTAACTGCACGAAGACTCTTATTTTTGATCACTTTTGGTCACTTGGAGTAATGCCTATACTTCTTGGTGATAATGTTATTTTTCTTGATTAAAGAATATTTTTGAAACATTGTGTACTGGAATTAATACAACTGAAAAAATAGATATGAATTTAACAACTTCTCTGCCGATGCGTTTAATAATGCAAACTCTTTTGAAACGAATATGCCATTTTATGACGCATCGGAAGAAAAGTTGCTACATTTTACAACATAGCAAGTAGTTATTGCGGTATTGTTTAAGCATGAATAACTTTTACTTTCTCTCACACATGTGCACTAACTCATGCTTGTTATAACTTTTAACATCCATTGAAAGAGGTTTATTGAATTCATAAACGAAAGATTATTTCTATTTGCATGGCAATGATTGGTTGAATATAGGGAGTTCTTTATATTCAAATCCTGTAATGATAGGTGTGTTGGATGCTTCACAAAAGTTTCAATGGCACATAACTTCCATGCTGCTCTACAATTGCAGAATTATTTTTATTAAAAGGCTATTGGATATTACTGAAATTAAATAAAACAATTGCATATATAAATTAACTGAGCAAATGATATGCCAGCTTAGCCGTGGAGAAGATGTTCCATGATTGCCAGAATAAACTTTATTTTGAGCGAGAAGATGGTAAAACTATTTAATACATATTATATACTTGCAAAGAAAGCGAAATAAAATATCCCTTTATTCTTCAGAGTGTAATTTCATCGTAATCTTCCAACTGTAGATATTTTACTGAATTAGTTTTGTTTCTGTATCGTCATGTTTTATATCTGTGCATCAAAACACCCAACAACATGATTTAGTATGACCTTGTCAGCAAATAAAATCTATCACTAAGTCCTGGCGAATCCAGAAAGAATTAAATTCTTGGATATTATTTTTGGATAGTTCACATATATGATAGAGGAAGAAAGACAACTCCAAATGTAGATTATGTCCTGTTGAATGTGGTATCTGAGCATCTTCTAGTTTAAAAGTAAATATAAATTGTAATTATAGCTTAATATTTTTAATTTTCATCAGCCACTAGGTGGAGGTTGCTTAACCAAATATTCCTTGGAGCTGTTTGCAAGATATTGAAAAATCAGTTGGGGCACCTTAATGAAGCTTAAAGCTAAAAATATGGATTTGAATAGAGTAAAATAGAATGGAATTAAAATAGATTTGAAAGGGTACACTTGATTGAAGCTAAAAACAAACAAACAAAAAAAAAAAAAAAAACAAAAAACATGGATTAATCATGAGTTTTAACTACCCTCTAAACCTCTAAAAAAGAAAAACGATAAGGTATCAACATTGATTGAAAATTGAGAAGAAATGTGTTTCTCAGTAATAGTAAATGAGAATGTCAAGGTTATTCTATAAAAATATATTTCGGTTAATGTCACCGTCAGGAAATGCATAGAGAGAAAAATATGGCCAAATATATTGTTCATGATTTTTTTTTTAAATTCTTTATTTTAATCTTGATACCAAGGGTGTCTAAGTGTAGCGCATTGCAATAATATATTTCAGCTTTGGCATAATCACCTGTAAGTTTCCATTTTAATTGCTGTTTGAATTACTACACTTTCTTCGCCCCACATAAGTATCCAGTTTCACTTCTTTTGATATTCAATAGCCAAGGGGTGGGGTAGGATGGGTGCTTGTGGACGATAATGGGTTTTGTGTAGTCTTCTATCATATTATGTTTATATCATTTTTATAAAATCCTTAAAAAGAAATCTGTGACAGACATAACCATGGTATATTTAAGTTTCCAGCTTTTCCGCCGACGAGTGTTCAGTTAAAGTATTTTTTGGCTATTAAATAGCTGAATGAGGGGTCAGAGAGTTTAAATTAGTGCTATTTCTATTTTTAGTTACATTTGTTAAGTTGACATCTTGGCAGTTTGTCCCTGCAGCAGACTGGCAATGGTAGTAGGGTGATTTTCAATTTGACCAAGGCTAGTGTCCAAGTGAAAACATTATAACAGTTAAGGCAAGAAAACAATTTTGAATAATTTTCACATTTAATCATTTTTAATTTCATTTTTTCTGCTTTAGCAATCAAAAACTATCTTAAGCTTTATGCTGGAAAAGATGAAAATGTTTTTTATTGATAGCGTTGGTTAAAGTAGTCATTTCTGAAGGAACAAAATGTTCAAACGTTTTTCAAGTATTGCATTTATTGACTGATTGTATATTGTTTTACGTCCCATTCGAAAATTTTTCACTCATATAGAGACGTCACCTTATACTGGTGAAGGGCTTCAAATTTAGACCTATATTCGGCACTCAGGGCCATTGAGCAGTGAGGGTTCTTTATCTTGCCAACGACTACAGTGACACGGGACCTCGGTTGTTAAGGTTTCATCCGAAAGGTGACTTACACTTCCAGTGCCAGGCACTTTAACAGTCAATACCTATAAATATAGGTTTGACGCGGCGCGGCGATCGAGAATCGAATCACAAGGCGATCATGAAGAGAACGCCCTACTACTAGTCTACCGTGACCGGTAAAGTATTGTAAAATAAACCTAAGTGAATGTATCATTTTGTATTTGTTTATGTACAATATATTCATTATTTTATGAAATTAAATTCTTCTACAGTTATCGAGATCAAAGAAATGCAGGGGACATTATTTTCCAATAAATCACAAACGTCATCAGAACATTATCAGATGAGAAACATCAATCATGTACAATAAGTAGCGCACAATATCGGGCATGTTTCGATATTAGACCTAGGCCAATGAGTCCAAGTTTCGGTCAGAAAACTTTCCTGTTCTTTGTTAGTAAAAATTGTATGAAAGAGCCTCAAGTGATAGAGATGCGAGCATGGAGCATGAATGCATGTAAGACAGTTACAATATCCGATATATATATATATATATATATATATATATATATATATATATATATATATATATATATATATATATATATATATAACCCTAATCCTTATTAGATCGCTACAAAGCACCCATATTTAACAGTTTCCTTCATTTTTACATGTTTCATGCATTGCTCCTGTAAAATAATATATCGGCACGGTTCGACATTAGGCTGATTCATGCAAGTTTTTGGTCACAAAAGGCACTTGGCAGTGCCTTTTGTTATCAAAAGTTACATGAATTAGCCCAAAGTCAGGAAGATTTAAGATTGGATTTATGAAACAGTTCCAGTCTTAAAACTATATACTCTAACCCTAATCACTCGAACGAATGCGCTTTGTTGAAGCAAGGGGCGACTTGTTTACATTCTGCATAGTAACGGCATAGGTAATAACCGCTCATGCGTAGTAGTTTGATTCTGGGTAACGGCATACTAAAAACTTCCTAATTCACATCATTATAGACGTAACATAATTCAACATAGGTGTTAATTTTGAAATCGTTTGTGCATTGTTCGTTTTATTACTTTAAATGCATTTACTGGTCGAGGAAGTAAAGACGTACACAACAACGTTTTTTAAATATTTCTTTTCAGACGTATGCACCTATAAATGTGATTAGTTTATATTTTGCAATTCTATTCGATCGATGATATTTATTCATTTTACTTTTAAATGTATGTGGTCGTTTGAGAGGAACAGTGTAAAACGGAGATAAGAACTGATAGGAAAATGTTTTCAAGAAGAGTCGTTTATATTGAGTTATTTACTAGTATTCTGCTTTCGAGTTCCATTTCTAAGGAGATTAATAGCAAAGGAAAAGTTAAATGTTCATCTGAAGGGAGATGTAAATGCAGACCGGAAGGTAAATTTTATAAAGCTTTCTGTTCCGAACTTGCCTTGCAAGAAATCCCTCAGTTTTCAGAAAATGTTAACTGGATCGACTTGAGCAAAAATAAAATATATTTGATCGAAAGAATTCCGCAAAATATTGTTGTTCTGAACTTGACAGCAAACTGCATAGAAAGTCTTCAGGGTCATCCATTTGATGGTTTAACTAAACTAAAGATTCTTAAATTAGACTATAATAATGGTATCAATTATACAGAACATAACTTTTATCAAGGGATTTTTGAATCTTTGAAGTCATTAGAGGAATTGGATATTAAGAATTCTCCAGCTTCAATTGAAAAATGGGAATTTCCAAGTGTGGCTATTTCAGAGCTAGCTTCTCTGAAAGTTTTAAAAATCAATGGACTTCCTGACATGACATTTCCAACATTTTTTCGGACATTAAAGAAATTACAATATCTAGATATCTCAGGACGGACTGGCAGCTTTTGTTCGCTGAGGCATGTTTCTAATACCTTTTTTGAAAATCTACCAGGTTTGAGGCATATTGATATAAGCTATTGTCATATCCGTTACATTGAAAAAGGAGTGTTTAATAAACATTCCAATTTGTCCTTTCTTGATATATCAAATAACCGTGAGATGGGATTTACTGTTTTACAGAATGTCACCGATTCATTCAACATGACAAACATCACGACTTTCAAATTTGATTCCATTACCTGCACGACTGGAGTAGGAACAATGCTATCACATTGTCATCTGCAGAATCTTTACAATACATCTATCACAGAATTTTCGAGCTCATTTAACCGACTTGAACAATTTCAACAAGGTGTTTTGAGAAGCCTTCCAAAGTCAATTAAAACGTTAACTTTGAAGTTGAATAGATTGACACCAGGAAAGTATTTATATGAATTTAGCCAGCTATCTGGTCTGGAGGTACTGGATATATCTCAACAATTCGGAGGATTAACATATCCTACTGCTTGGGCAGATCCGTGTAAAGAAAACGTGGATTTTTCACTAGAAAATGGGTGTACCGGTACTATACTCTATTCACAAAAATTTGAAACCCTTCTTTATAATATGGATAGATTAAATTATATGAAGCATGATAGCCTGATAGAATCCAAACCATATATAACATTTTTTTTGCCTCCTAAAATGAATGAAGTTTTAATGCACTCAAGTCATCTTTATGGAAAGGTGCGGATGTTTGGAATTCATGCAGAAAATTTAAAGAAAATTCATTTATATGACAATGGCTTATTAGATTGGGAAGGATCTGTGTTAGGAACAGAAAATATAACATATTTAGACATTTCCAGTAACTATTGTCATAGAGTAACAAGTTATTTTTTCAGTCATTTGCATTCCCTCATTACTTTAAATTTATCAAACAATATCTTGGGACTGTCATTTGCTGATGACAATGAGGGAAATATTTTCCAAAGCCAAGGAAAACTTGAAATTCTGAATATTTCAAACAATCATATTGAATACCTTCCATTTAAGTTCTTTAAACATACAGTTCAAATGAGATCATTAATAATTCAAAATAATAAACTCTCAGATTTTCATTTGCAATTAAATCAAATGAGGAATCTGAAATTCTTAGGTTTGGCAAACAACAGGATAAGCTCCTTATCCCATGCATCTATGGAATCCTTTGAAAGATTACTGGATGAAAGACAAAATTCAGTTACAATTGATATTTCTGGAAATGTTTTTACATGCGTGTGCCAGTCCTTAAAATTTTTAAAGTGGATTGCTTTACACAAACATACGTTCAAGAATCTTGCAAATTATAAATGTGTCGAAAGTGATGTACCTTTTCAATTTTCAAAAATAGATGATTCAATCGAAAAACTGACAAAATACTGTTTATCTTACCTTTCTATATATTTGCCCACTACGATTGCTTTAACACTAATAATTTGCATTTTGGTTGGGGTTGGTGTATACAAAAACAAGTGGACTTTGCGGTATATTATATATAAAACGAAAAAGAAATTTCGAAATGGGGGAAATCTCATTGACAACATTCAATCAACTTTTCACTATCAATATGATGCATATATTTCATACTGTGGAAGTGATAGAACTTTTGTCCTGTCTGAAATGTATCCAAGACTAGAGAATTGTTGTGGATTAAAGCTGCTGATTCGTGACAAAGTTTTTCTACCTGGTGAGTCCAAATCCACCTGCATTATGGAAGGTTTACAAGAAAGCTGTAAAGCCGTGTGTGTCGTTTCCAAGCGGTATCTATCTTCCAAGTGGCGGGATTTTGAACTTAACATGGCAAAAGTTGAAGGCATCAAAGACAGAGGAAGTATTCGATTTGTTATTCTCATTTTAATGCCCGATGTCTACAATGGAATTTTTCCAAGCAAAGTAGTCGATTTACTTAAACAGGATTGCTTCCTGGAATACCCAGAAAATGAACGGGATTATGGAGAATTCTGGGAAAATTTAATACGAAGAATATCTCAAAACATTTACGACTCCTAATGATTATTGACTGGAATAAAAATAACAGTCTTTACGATGTTTCTCTTTTGTTTATATATAAAGAATGTTTGGAATGAAAATTGAGAGAGTTCAGGAATAAATGTCCGAAATTCACGTTTTATCGTTCACTTCAAATATTTTAGAATTATTAATTTTTTAGGCCTAACTTCAGCTATCCCAAAACAACTATTGAATCCCTGGTGACTTTTCTATTATTTAGGTTATTTTTAGGATTAACTGGCAAATGAAATATTAATGTTTCTTTTTATAGACACAATAGTTTTTTAAGGTCATTTTTCATCAATTTTGACTGATCACGAGGTAATTTAAAGTAGTACATGTGCAACCTGTGTGCAATTATAATCATGACCGTACCTTTTTTATTAACAAACAACAATTGATCACTTCATATTAATAAATCCAGTGCTTTCAATAATAATGATTTGTCCTGCTCAAGAGCAGTTTTGAAGCTGAATTTTATAACTACAGAGTCTCTGGATTAGTCCTTCACATAATTTTTTGGTTATGTATAAAAAGCTTTTACTAATACATGCTCATACTTATTATTTAAATTAACTTTTTTTCGTAGATTCCCTGAAAAAATTCATATTTTTTCATATTTTATATTATTCTAATATTATTTATTCTCTTTTACCCAGTATCAATCAGGAGAAAAAAAAGTATTTTTAAATAGTTTAGGTATCACAATAATATTTCTGATTACGTCAAAGCATGACCAAGGCATAATTATAATTCCTGAATTTCCATTTCACTGCTGTACTACACGAGAACTGAATGTTCTTAAGATATGAAATATTATATGTTAACTTTCCGATTTTACAAGGTTAGTGAAAATAAGTTTTTTGTGCTCTATATTTGATTTTGAAATGATTATGCTCTGAGGTAAGGCTAGGTAAAGGCGTTTCTATGCAATCGAGCTAACAAAAACGTGTAAGAGAACATCTATTTTACAGAGAAAGTTTGTTTCATATTTTTATACATACTTTTACCTACGTGTTATAGCCAGTGCACATTATGACGTCATATTATTACGTCATTGTTATTTATTACTCAAGGTGATAAAACAAGTCAACAAAACAGCTTCGGCGCAAGGGGGATATCCTTTTTTGATTTTACATAAATAATATGTAATGCAAAGAAAAATACTCTAAAGATTTATAGAATTGCTGCACAAATCCTACGCACTTCGAACTTGATGAAAACTACGCCGGACTGTGAATTTTTTTACCCTGTTTCATCTCAAAACTTTTCAATAGTAAGTAAACAACTAAACTATAGATATTTGTGCAGCAATATCATCAATCCTTAGAATATTCTATTCTGATTATACCTTGTTTCTGTAAACTTAAATAGGGTATGCCCTTGCGCCGAATCCTTTTAGTTGATGTTTTTATGTCCTTGTGTATTGTAAAAAATGACGTCACAATATGACTTCATAATGTGTGCCGGCTATCACTTTTCGTGATATATCAATATAAGTTTGTATCAGGGTATAGAGGTATACCCCTTATGCGTTTTAATTAGTTTATTTGCATAGATACGTCTATACTTAGCCTTAGCTGCTTATTTTGTTTGACTTAATGTTGACTTTTTCATATACGTGTTGAAAGTAAGAACAAAGATTGTTTTCACTGAATAATTATTTAAAAATTGGTTTGCAATTTGCTAGTTTTCAATGCAGACAGAAAGTGAATTTCGATATTTTTGACATTAAGAAAGTAGTTAAAAATTACTTCAGTGATTGAGTATTTTAACTACTTCTTATATTCTTGAGTTACTTGAAATATTCATCGACTATTGCTTCTAAACTCCTACAAGAAAACTTTACAGGGCCTGGATATCGAATATCTTAAACATAATCCTCCATGTGATCGTGTTCATGTTCTTCTTCACCCTATAACTGTAGTCCTGCTGGACACGTTATTACTGGTGAGGTAAATATAGTTAATAACGAGGACCTTAAGTCATTAATTTTTAAAAGGTCCTAAACATAGGGAACCCCGATCCTTCAACTGCGTCGGAATTTCATGAATATTATGGATTCTGTAGAGGATTACGCCAGGCGATGGGCCAGATATGAAAAAAAGACCTTCGCAGCTATGTTAAGGCTTCCCGAAGCTGTAAAATGCGCTCAAAACATAATATGTCATTGCGAGGTCAGTTTTGGTTTTAATTTATAAGTATTGAACTTTAGTACTTCCAATTTATAAAAGGGTTTCCTCGGCTATATATTAGCATATTTGTTATGATATCACATGACTTTGTTGATCACGTGACGGTCATTTATAATTTTTTGAAGTGTTTCATATAAATCGCTTCGGCGCAGCTGATTAACACAATAATTATTAACATTTTGTTATATAAATAAACTCACCGTATCCTTGTGTATCCGAAATGTGCTTGGGAAAAGTCATAGTATTACTTGGGTACAAAATATTTCCTAAGAAATTCAACTTACCTACAAATTTGAGGGTATTTTCCACACAATATCGTAATATGTATTAAAACAAAGCCAACACACATTTTTCCCAAGCAAGATTCAGTTAGAGAAAACCTCTTCTTACAGATTTCCACAAAAATTCTCAGATCAATCCTCATTAATCACCTGCGCCAGACTCTTTTATACACACAAAATAAATTCTACCTCCAACCACGGGTATAAAACAGAGAACATTTCAAAAGTATATTTTTCATAAGCATTTTGAACATGATGAATTTCAATCAAGGGTAGGTAAGCGGTGTATTTTTAAAATATTCGGACATATGAGGCTTAAAAAACCTTTAACGTCCCGTGAATTTTGCAATAGCTATCTAGCATTTTACATGCAGTTTGAAATAAAGTGTAAAGTTCATGACACTCTCCCCGTCATAACACCTCAAATTTACAGTGACCTGACGTCATTTTCCATTATGAGGTCATATTTTGGTAGTTCAGAGATGTGAAGGCACAGAGTGCACTGTCATATTCTACGGGAAGCCTTAACCTACCTGCGTTGACACTTTCTCAGAATGGATTAAATGTATCAGATGTATGTTAAAATCGCGCATTAAAAGATTGAGGGGCAATATGAGAACCATCTATCCTTCTGTATTCAAAAATCCAGAAGTGAAAAAAAATAGTTAGATTACATGATCAGTACGTACTGGTCCGTGCTGACAAAGCAGGTAACAACATTGTCTTTGTTTGTAAGGCTCATTATATTAAATGTATTTTGGAGGAACTTGGATTTTATTCTACAAGTGGTAATCCAACTTATACTCATAGTTCCCTTTCTAAGGAAGAAATTCTTCAAAATCATATGTCAGTTTTAAATATTATTCCAAACTTCCAAAATGAATTTGAATTACCATATCTATATTGGATTCCGAAACTTCATAAAAATCCTTACAAACAAAGATACATAGCGGGTTCCAGTAAATGTTCAATCAAGCCTCTTTCTCTACTCTTCACTAAGATATTAACAGTAGTGAAGGAGAAACTTCAAGAGTAATGTGCAACAAAATATTCGAGAAGTGGTGTAAATCAGATGTGGATACTTAAAAATTCCAAAAAACTTTTGGAAAATTTGAAATCACAAGAATTTATCAAAATCAACAGTCTAAAAACTTACGAATTTTCAACTTTATACACAACCATACGCCACGATAAATTAAAGTCCAGACTTTCTGACATTGTTGACAGCTGCTTTTTCAATAAAAATGGAACTCGTAAATTTACTTACCTTGTCATTGGTCATTTGCAAAATTATTTTGTTAAAAAACATTCTCATTGTACACACAAGTACTCTGAAGTTGACATTAAAAAGATGCTTGAGTTTCTGATTTGACAATATCTATGTGGTTTTTGGAGACCAGGTCTTCCAATAATCTATTGGAATTCCCATGGGTACCAATTGCGCCCCGTTATTAGCAGACCTTTTTTGTATTCATATGAAGCAGAATTTGTCCAAAATCTTATACGTGAAAAGAAGAAAACACTTGCTGTAGCCTTCAACTCGACATTTAGATATATCGACGACGTATTAACATTGGTTATTTCCATTCTGATGTCGATACGATATATCCCGGTGAGCTTGAGATAAAAGATACCACAGAGTCTGACACATCTGTTTCATATTCGGATATTTTACTTAAAAAAGACGTTAATGGTAATCTAACAACCAAGCTTTATGATAAATGTGATGACTATTACTTTTCAATCGTCAACTTCCCTTACTTATGCAGCAATATACCTTCATCACCTGCATACGGGGTTTATATCTCTCAGTTAATTCGATACGCAAGAGCATGCTCTACGTATGTACAATTTCTAAAACGAGGTAAATTACATGTATTGACAAACAAGTTGATAAAACAAGAATATCAGCAGTCTCGTTTAAAATCATCATTTCGTAAGTTCTATGGTCCATACAATGACCTTGTCAGCAAGTACAATTTATCATTGAGTCAAATGCTGACTGACGTTTTTCATACTATTTGTTAGGCCATTATTTACACACTGAATTGTCGACGGATTTTTCCGTTATTTCCCGATCATGACAAGGAGCACATGGCGTGTGTGACCGGTCGGCAGGGGATGCTCACTCCTCCATGGCACCTGATCCCACCTCTGATGTTTTGAAGGTCCGTGTTTGCTCTGCTCCTATTTTGTATTGTTTAATGGACTTCTGAGCTTGAATGCTGTTCGTTATCTCCATATATTTCATTGAAAATAATGTTTATTTCGGTTTTTTCTACATTATACCAGCAGAGTCAAACACTCTAACGTTTTACCTGGGTCTTTGTATGATTGATATGCACATGTCTTTAGTCATTATTGTATTCTAAATATCCCTTAGACATCGAGTGTTGAGTAGGTATGCACTATACCTATGCGGTACCGTCACCGTACGCTGATAGGAACATTAAAATACTTTATAAGATTAATTACCAATTGAATTTTTTATTTTAAAAAATTAAACCCAATAAAATTACCAACACACTAGAAAGCCAATATTACCTTGAATGTGAAGAGATTAATAATGAAAGACAGATTCTTGTCAAAAC